CAATGGGAAAGTCGGCTGTTAGGGACCTCTCTAAAGTAGTCAAGAGCAACAGTGTCTCTCTGGAGACTAAGGTGCGCCTGATACAGGCCATGGTCTTTGCAATCACTTGTTATGCATCAGAGAGGATAACAATAACTAGAGAGGATAGAAGGAGAATTGATGCCTTTGAGCTATGGTGCTGGAGAAGAGTATTGAATGTACCAGTATTTCCCACTTCACTTTCTAAGTAATCTGTGAGACAACTCCAATAGTTGTTACTTTATTTTGTTTCTTTATTGTTGGTTGTAGCTTTTGTTTGTTGTTTTGTTTTGATTTTCTCCATCTTAGATATTCTGGTTTTTACTCTTCAGTCCGTTAATGCTTTGGAAGAAGGTATATCTAATTGTATGGTAATGAGAAGAACTTGCAGCGTACCTCGTCTCTTGTATTGTCAAGAAAAAGATTTTCTTTATAATTTTTTTAAAAGGATAGTCAGAAAAGAATTTTATTGTTACAAGTATTTGAGTAGACCTGAAAGAGGTTAAGTAGTGAGCTTTTTGTATATAAAGCAGATATTTCTTAAACTTAATGCTTTCCAATGTATGAGCTCCATAATGAGGTATGAAGTCCCAGTCACTTTACATACATATTTATTCAAGGACTAAATATTCCATTTTTTTGTCTGTGACTGCTTTTCTATCTGAAAATGAAATAGTATTCCAAATCAAAGATACTATACTTTAAAACCTCAGGTTTAGGATATAACCCCTAGATCACTTTTTAATACGAACTAAGGCTGCTTTGTATGGTCTTTATAATGATCTGTGATCACTTCCGAATATTCTCTCATTGCTGTTGTATGGGAATTGGCAGCTAGCTGACTCTCCAGTGAGTTTTCACAGGTTGTAAATTATGTGGGAGGAAATGTCTGTCTTTGTTCAAATACATAGTCTTGTTTTATTCAAAAGTAAGATAAAATTATTTCTTTATGTTTTGACATTTCTTTATTTTATAATAGTTAATGTCCTTTTACATTTTGATCTGTTTGAGAAGACCAGTTTTACTTAGGAATTCAACTCTCAAGAGCTCATTGTTTTCAAGACACTCTGAAGATATAAGAATACAAATATATGACATGATTTTTATTCTCATATGCTTAAATGACCTAGAGGACAAACAAAACAAACCATAATTTTTATCTTGTATTTCAAACATTAAATTCTAAATATTTATGGTTCTGATTGGAGTTCTTTATAATTGCCCATTACTTGTATTATCAATTTCTTTTTCTGTCTTCTCCATCCCACATATATTTTATATCTGGTTCCCTCTTTTATTATTAATGATTTTTTAATGTAGCATACATATTTTTACAGAATATTCTTTCCATTTAATTTTCCCTCCATTCAATCATTGTTATAAATTTTTCTCCCTGCCCACAACTCCCCCAAGTTTTTTTCTTTTTGAAGAAAAAAAAATTCTTTCGTTGTTATACAGTCCCCTGCAGTTCACTGTCCACTTTAATATGTATTTCTTTTTCTGTGATCTTGTCATGAAAATAATACCTAATCCTATATTCCTTTTAAACAGTTTTTTCCCCTCATCTGTTTCAATGCAGTATACATTATTTATTCCCCTCTTTTCTTAGGTTCCCCCAAACCCAACGTCAGTCCTGTTTTACAACAGTGGCACTCTGCAGTATTTGTCCCTTTGTGACTGAGATATTTCACTCACATAAGGTCCTCTAGGGTTGTATACTATTTCATAAATTCTTTGTTTTTCAACGCAGCATATACCACAGCTTCTCTATCCACTCTTTGTTGATGAGCACTTGGATTGTTTCCAACTCTTTATTATTGTGAACAAAATAGCAATAACCATGGGTGTGCATCTATATCTGCTTGAGTGGCAGTTCTGGTTGCTTTTGGGTATATTCCCAGCAGTGGAATTGCAGGACCAAATGTTATTTCTGTGTGCAACTTTTTGAGAAAGCTCCATACTGCCTTCCATAGTGGTTGTACCATTTTACACTCCCACCAGCAATGAATAAGGGTTTAAGTTTCTCCACAACCTCACTAGCATTTGCTATTTGCTGCTCTGTTGAGTTTTGCTGTTCTTACTGGGGTAAGATGATATCTCATAGCTGTTTTGAGTCTGATTCCCTCTTACTTCCCTGAAACTACTTTCTGTCTCACATATTTTCTTGCTCCTTTCTCTTTTTCTTCTGTATAATATCTATTTTTTTCTTTCTCATGCAGAGAGAGATATGTGCAAATGCTTGACCAAATTGCCCACCAGATGATTGACTTCTACAAAGATTTGGTTACTCAGCGAATAATGGACAAGCGCATTTTAGAAGAATTGTACAATTTCAAGAATGTTATTGAGAAACTGACTGGGTAAAAACTATGATTATCTTAAACACAAACACAAAAACAAAAGACAGAGTCTTATCTTTAAAGAGGGAAAATGTATTGATTAAATGTGAAGACTCTTTTGTTCTCTTTGCATGTATAACAAGAGCACAGAAAGAATGGGATACAGATTAGATACTGCCCACTTACTGCTATTAAGTCAGTTCAACTCCTAGCCACCTTCCATTGAGTTTCTGAAGCTATAAATCGTAATCAGAGGAGACTGCCTAACTTTCTTCCAAGAGACCACTGGTAGATTTGAACCATGGGAGATGTGCAACCTTGGAGTTAGCTGTGTGACTCTCTATGGACTATGCCACTAGAGATTAGATAGAGATGCAGAAAAATGGGTTATATTGATTAATGTAAACTGATCGAGAAGAGGGATTTGTTCTTCCTTCTAAGATAGAGATACTTACCTTAATTAGATTATAGAGTCATGATTATGGATGTTCAAGTTCACATATCAAAGAAAGTAAACAGTATGTAGCAAATGAGATTAGTGATAATTTATGACAAGAGTTTAGTGGTGAGAATGAAGAGGACAGGGTAGCTATGTCAGAGGTTGGGTTGGAGGCCCTGGGAAACCAGGGCTGTTGGCAGTTGCTTTTACCCTATCCCAAAGGATCTTCCACAACTTTCTGCCTCTTCTAGATAGTAAGATTCTATTGCCAAACCCAGGTGATATTTCATTCAGAATGTACACCAAAGTTTTTTTATTTGATTTATGAGTTGGAAAAACTAAGAAAAAGGGTATGCAGGAGAAATGAAAAGATATGACTGTAAACCTGACTTCTTAGAAGTAGAAATGTTTTGGAAGTCTTCAAGTATGAATATAAAATATCTTTTATTTCAGGGAGCTGTGCCTGGTTAGAGCACATGATATAAAGTTAACAAAGGAAGCAGAGAAGGCCCAGAAGGATTTGGCACAAGCTCTTTTAGATGCTGAAAGGAATGCCAAGTGAGTTGTTTAAAGTATATTATTTATATGAAGAAAGAGGAGCTCATATAGAAGTTCTGCAACATGCCTTGTAACATGTAGACTTCAGCTAAAACTGTCTCTACATGCTTACTTATGTGCTTAAATGTATTCATAGTAATTTTCTTTCATAGTAAAAGTACAACTCCTCCTCAAGAAATGGATAATCAAGAGCTATTTTGTACTATTGTTGTTAGACGCTGTCAAGTCAAATATGACCCATAGGGATGCTGTGAACGACAGATCTGCACCCTGGCTTATCGTGTGTCATCCTTACACCTCCTGACACACTAGAGCCCCATGCAGCAGTCACTGTGTCAGTCAACTTCGTTGAGGGTCTTCCTTGCCTTCACCAACCCTCCATCTTTCTAAACATCATGACCCTTTCCCAGAATAAGTCCCTCCTAGCAACATGCCCAAAGTATGAGAAGCGAAGCCTCATTATCTTTGCCTTCAAAGAACACTCTGACTGCACCCTTTCCAAGACATATTTGTTTGTTTTGTACTATAATTATCTGTGTGGTTTTTTTTTTCAGAGAGACAGAGTATATATCACATGGTATCTTGGTTATCTCATGCTATTTAACTGAGATGCCACAGTGAATAGCTTTAACTGAAATTTATTCTCTTACCATTTAGGAAGCTAGAAGTCTCAAATTAGGATGCTAGATCTAGAGGAAACCTATTTTTCTCTGTGTCAATTCTGAAGAAAATTCCTTGTTTCTTCGTTGTCTGTTGTTAAGTGTCATCAAGTCAGTGTCTCATACTGAACCCCTGACAACAGACCGAAACCTTGCCCTGTCCTGCACATCATGATTTCTACTATATTCAAGCTTTTTGTTGCAGTCAATCGGGCAGTAGATCTCACTTAAAGTTTTGCTCTCTTTCTCTAACCCTTCACCTTTCCCAGCATGATGTATTTTTTCAAGAACTGGTCCTTTTTGGCAACATACCCAACGTATGTGAGATGAAATGTCACCATTCTTGTCTCTAAGGAGCACCCTGGCTACACTTTCTCCCATACAGATTTTGTTTGTCCCTTTGGCAATCCATGAGATGCTCAGTAAACGTCACCAACATCACAATACAAAGGCATTGTTTATGCTTCAATCTTCCTTATTTATTGTTTTGCTTTCATATGCACACAAAGCTATTGAAAATACTGTGGTTAAGTACATTTTAGTTTGTTTTTTTCTTTTTTTTATTATTATTAAATTTTATTAGTTTCCATGAACATTCACAGGGATTCTGGGCTTTCACTCCTTCATTGACGCACCATTCTCTCCACCCTCCTCCCCAGTTTGTTCTTCTTCCCCGCCATCCCAATGTCTGTTTTAATTGTCCAATTGCCACAGTGCTTGTCAAAGTTAATTCTGATTAATCTCCTTTGTCAGTGTGTCCTTTGCCATTCCCTATCACTCCTC